TTGATCTACATGAACAATTGTTCCGGCTAACATTGCACGATGTAAGTAAAGACTGTTTTAAGAAAACAAGGTAGTTCTGTGTTTTAAAGTGTGTTTATTTTCTTATCTATACATATAATAAAATCCTAACTAAGCCGAATCTGTACATTAAATATTTTTTGGAAAATCTTATTGAAATAGACATTATTATCGACACAGAGGCCGAATCTATTGTTTTAAGATTTTTAAGCTATTGCATAGCTTCTATCGCGGGCCTTGAAAGTGGGGACCGAATCCAGAAATTCCGTAACGAAAAAAACCTGACACCCCCCGACCGGCACAGCGGTGATACTTTTTAGTTTTTCCATCTATCGATAAATACTAGAACTTTTAATGACTTTTTGAAATATCACGCTTGTCTCTTTAGTTCAGCAACCCGCCTTTAGGTGGCATTGGTTGTATTGGAAAACTACCGTAATCAGCTGTTTGTGAGAAAGTATATAGGTGTATAGGTATTTATCATCTATGTACAACAGTGAATATCTGTACTCGTATAATTTGTGTACAAAGTGTTTTAAATATGAATAAACAAAGTGCATTTATTAATGAAGAAAGTCAAGGAAAAAAAAATACTGCATTAATAAAATAAATAAATAATTATAATTGCATAAGTTGACAAAAAATGCTATGCAATAGCTTTACCGCGGTAGTCTCCGAGTGCCACATTTAATTTTTTTGTCTGTCTGTCTGTCTTTCTGTCTGTCTGTCAGTCTGTCTCTCTGTCTGTTACCGCATCACAGAAAAATCACTGGAGGGATTTTGATAAAATTTGGTATGGTGATAGCTGGTTATCCGGGTCAACATATAGGATACTTTTTACCGCGAGAAAATATCTCATTTCTGAGAAAAAATACAAAAACTGCATTGTAAGAGTATACTAATATGTAAAACCTAAGAATTTGGTTTTGGTCATCTGAACGCGGGCGGAGCCGCGGGCAGTGCTAGTTTAAATATAAGACCAATATTATGTAATATCACAGATCATATAACACTATACTAGTAAGAGATCCATGATCAAAAATTGATTATAATTTAATACGTTATAAATTTAAATTTTGGGGCACTTTTGATACAGTTATATAAATAGCATATATTGAAATAGAAAAATGCTAAAACACGTATTTAATTAATTGTATTGAAGAGCATTTATACCAAATTTCAAGTAATTCTGGTTATAAATATTTTTTTCGATTGTATTATAACGTGTTCTCCCGCGGTAAAGAGATAATCTCCCGCGGTAAAAACGTAGCCTATGTCACTCTCCAGCCCTCCATCTATCACCACACAAAAATCACGCCAATCCGCCAAGCTGTTTCGACGTGAAAAAAAGACAAACAAACAAACACACTTTCACATTTATAATATTAATTTAATTAAGTATGGATATATTATAATAATACAGATATTGTGCTATTTTTGTATAATAATTAATAATTGTATTAAAATCAGTTAAGTTTTCTTCTATCAGCTCTATATAGCATAACTAGCATTGCCCGCGGCTCCACCCGCCTTCAGATGACCAAAAACCAAATTCTTAGGTTTTACATATTAGTATACTCTTACATTGCAGTTTTTCTATTTTTTCTCAAAAATGAGATATTTTACCGCGGTAAAAAATTATCCTATATGTTGACCCGGATAACCAGCTATCATCATACCAAATTTCATCAAAATCTATCCAGTGGTTTTCTCGTGATGCGGTAACAGACAGACAGACAGACAAAAATTCTAAAAACTATAGATTCGGACTCTGTATCGATAATAATGTTTATTTCAATTAGATTTTCAAAAAAATATTTAATGTACAGATTCGACTTAGTTACAATTTTATTATATGTATAGAAGAGCTACTATATCAAATACGCAATGTTTAATCAAACAATTATCATCACACATAGCACTAAAACAAATAATAATCTATATATATAAAAGAAAGTCGTGTTAGTTACTTCGCTTATAACTCAAGAACGGCTGAACCGATTTAGCTGAAAATTGGCAGGGAGGTAGTTTAGAGCCAGGAGAAGGACATAGGATACTTTTTATCCCGTTCGACCGCGTTCCAATTTTTATGATATTTTAATTTTTGGATTTCTCTTAGTCCGGAATAGGTAAGTATTAAAACATATAATTAAAATGTGAGAAAGAAAGATTTTTTCTTTTTATATCTATTTAAAACGTACCTAGCGACGAACCCGAGCGAAGCGAGGGTGAGCCGCTAGTATGACATTAAAAGATAAATGTGTCATTGTCGCTTAAAGACGTGTTAGGAAAACGGCATTGACATCGTGAACCAAGGAGGCACGTATAGAACCTCCGGGGAATATTAATGAATGGGAAAATGATAGACAGTGCCATATAGCAAAGTGTTGGTTTTCAACCGAGTTCAAAAAGGAGGAGGTTCTCAATTCGACTGTATGTTTTTCTTTTTTTTTTTATGTTTGTTACCTCAGAACTTCGTCATTTATTAACCGATTTGGACAATTTTTGTTTTGTTTGAAAGGGTATACTTCCAGATTGGTCCCATTTAAATTTCAAAAAAAAAAATACCAACCCTAAGGGTGGAAAAACAACTAATGATGAATTTAACCTACTTCTAATTGTCATATTGACTTGAAACTTTGCAAGTATTTCTATTTCCGTTGATAGTACAGTGGTTCGGTGTTGTTGACCTGATCTGATGGCAAGGCCAGAAGGTGGATAGGTGGAACTCTTTAACGGCTAATAGTAGATACTTTGAGTTTGGGCTTATTTTGTTTGATTTGACAAGCCTAACACGTTAGAATCCTTACTTTGCTACTACTGTCTACACTAAAAAGGGAAAAATAAAAACTTTTTAACAAAAAAATAAAAACCGACTTCAAAAAAAAGCAATAAAAAGTAAAAAATAACTGATTGGTAGTTTTCATTTACTATACATACCTAATCAAATATTTTCGAAATCGGTGCCAGCCCATACAAAGCAAAGCACACCGACTTCAAAAATATTTGATTAGGTATGTATAGTAAATGAAAACTACCAATCAGTTATTTTTTACTTTTTAGTGCTTTTTTTTGAAGTCGGTTTTTATTTTTTTGTTAATTTAAATAAAACTATCTATTCGCAGTGTTTCGCGGATTTATTTAGATTTTTGGTTGGGATATTTCGAATGTTTTACAGCAATCATAGTCACGGGAGAGGCTAAGGTTTTAGACGTCTCAAAGGCGTTATAGTTGTTACAGACAGCTTACCCACAAAATAACAAAATGAATTCAAAAAATATAAAAATGGCACCAAAGTACCTTACAATATTTGTTAATTTTAAACATTATTATAATTGTAATAAGTTTTATAATTGAATCTGAAATATTATTTATTTAATTTTAGCTGTTAGTATTATAATTAATACATTTTTTTAGAAAACTTTATTAATTAGTTATCTCATTTAGTGTAAATCCGCGGAAAAATTAAATCAAAATTATTTAAAATGTCAAATATTCACGTAAATCTGAGAAAGTATTAAATTATTGGTTTTCAATTGCCTCAGCGGTGTAGTAGCTAACATATATGGCTGCAAATCCAGAGATCCTCGGCTCGAATCCCGAGTCATGCTAAGTATAGTTGCTGAGTTTTTCTGTCAAGTATTTCTTAGTAGTTGCTCGGAGTCGGGATATTGGTAATGTTACACTCGTGCCTCGGAGAGTCATTATATACTTAAAAGTAATGTAACATATTCCACTCTTAATAAATATTTGTTTCATGGAATTCATATGGCTGACCCATTGACGTATAACTTTAAATATATATATATATATAATATATATATATATATATATATATATATATATATATATATATATTTAAAATCAGTTTTCAATTGGCGAAGATATCGATTTTATTGAGCGAAATTAGCACATCCTCCTTAAGTCGATCAATACATTAACTATCTTTACAAGGAAAGTATACATATGTAGTGTTGTGACGCTGGTATCGTTAATGTACCTAGTCTTCAGTTATGGCTTATTATTAGTTAACTCGGCGGTCTAGTGGCTAGCATGTTCGACTTCAGATGCGGAGGTCCTAGGTTCGAGTCCCGGGTCGAGCCAAGTTTAGTTATTGAATCTTTCTGTTCATAAATTCTTAGTAACAGCCGGAATTGGGAGGTTGACGTTTCACTCCCGTGCCTTGATGGATGAGAATTATCGTCCCACCGGAGTATGAGAGTGATAGGAATAGTCTACGTCATAGGTCATACGTCAGGTCTGTTGTCAATTACGTTGTTTGTAAAGTAAATATTATCGCTATTGTGTTACATATAGAGAAAACACACAAGTACATTCATAAAATAGCATGAAACTAACAAAACAAAATTTTATTTTAACATTTTTTTTTAATTATTTATTTTGTTATTGAATACTTATTATTTTATTTCTTTATTTTTATATAAGAAACAAATATTAAGTTCAGTAAGTAAATTTTTACTCTACAACCTAGTCAAAATATGTGTTACAAAAATTATGTATTACAAAAATTATATTAGGTATACAAAAATAATAAAAAATTGGATTCGTGTAACCTTAATGCGCGGTTGAAGTAAAACTTCTTTGGCAAATATCGGAATTAAATTAAAACAAATTAATAATTAAATATGGCATACTACAATCATAGATTTATAGAATATCATAAACGGAAAAATATAATATTATGTTTGTCAGACAATAACAACGGTCACCATGGCAACATGGCAATGTATCTATCACATTCACTCGCTGGCTTAATCCTATATTATATTTGTCTCATTTTAGTGTCGCATTTTCGTTTCAATGAGTTTCAAATCACAACGTTCCTAAAGAAGTTTCATTTCAATAAATAAAATCTACAAGACATCGATTTATCGAGACAAAATTTACACTATTATAAGCACGTTAGAAATTACGTAACCCTTTCATTTTACATAATATATGCAAAATATATTTTTCCTTAGGTTTGCCAACAATGCTCACCTCGCGGTCTTCCAGAGGAAGATTCCGTAGTGAGTGTGTACACCACCCAGCCGACCACCGCAACGACACATGTCGATGTCTACCATCAGATAGCTAATAATATAGCGGAAAGAATCACTTCACCTATATACAGGTAAATCTATATATCAATAGGCAAAGGCCAAACTGTTCAGTGCCTTTTTCTCTTCTGTTTCTTAACCAATTTTCTTTTTTTTAGTAGTTATTGACGAGTTTTAGTGTTATCTATACAATTAATAAAATTCTGATTAGAATTTGTACATTAAATATTTTTTTTAAATCTTATTGAAATAGACATTATTATCGATACAGAGGCCAAATCTATAGTTTTTAAAAAAAATGTCTGTCTGTGACCGCATCACGAGAAAACCACTGGACAGATTTTAATCGAATTTGGTATGATCATAGCTCGTTATTAGGGGCAACGCTTTCGGTTTTCTTTGTAGTTTTAACGCGAGCGAAAAAATATTCCTTTTCTTCCCTTAAAATTGAAATATTTTTCCGATGAATAACATCAGCCTTAATTAAATATTAAGATTTTAATTGAAGTTAGAAACTTTTTAAGCGTAAAATGTATTCATACACTAAGTAGACCATTTTTTACTTTCTATAATTTAAAAAAAAAATTATAATGTTAATGATTTAGCAAAATATTTTAAAACTGTAGGCTATTATTAAGAGGTCCCAATTTTATTGAATTTGTATTGAAATGAAATTCTTACAAAATACACATAATTCATTCATTAATATGATATAGTCCATAACATCGTTTTAGACTTTTACTTATTTACTTTTAAAAATTGAGTAAAAATTGGGTAGAACTCAATTTTTATTAACAAGTAACTAACAATATATAATCATAGCATTCATTCAAAAAAAAAGACTAACAATATTGTACATGATATTAAATTATTACTATTAATAAATCACTTTATTTATGAAATATATTAATTTTTGTTATTTAATGGTTTATAAATTATATAATTATCTGCCATCTATGTATAATGTATATCTTCTATACTATAATAAAACAGTAGAGGTCAAATGTCTGTACATAGCAAAAAAATGCTAAAAACCGAGTCAGGGGGATGTAAGAAGACAAATAGAACAAATCCAGACTTTTTTATTTTTTTTTGTTTCTCTGCCTGTTTGTCTGTTTGTACGGGCTAATCGCCGAACGTATTGGACCGATTTAAATAAAATTTTGCATGGTGGTACCTTATATTCCCAGGCAACATCTTAGATACTATTTATCTGGGAAAATTAAATAGTTCCCGTGGGATAGTTAAGAAAACTATATATATACATTCTGATACCTTATATTGTCGGTCAAACAACAGGTTACTTTTCATCCGGGAAAAATGAGCTATTCCCGTGGGAACTAATAGATCTCTATTAGTGTTTTTCTAGAAGCGAGTGTGAGCCCCTAGTATATATATATATATATATATATATATATATATATATATATATATATATATATAAATGGTCTGCAAGTGTATATTATGTTAATTTATTTCGGTAATTAGAGACTATTTTATTTATTTACTTTGACAGATTTCTAGGCATCAACAGAACCAAAACGGAGGCTACGACAAAACGGTCATGGGATAAAGTCGAGCTTCTGGACGAACCAGAGGTCTCTCCTAAATCTATATTATCTATCAATAATGAAATATCAGATAAAGATGTAGAAGAATTATCTGCAGAAGCATTAAAGAAGATTGATAAAAAACCAGAAAAGATAACACTTTACAACAGCTATCTGCCATCAGAAAAGATAGAATTAAATGATACTGTTAACGAAGTTGATAATGATACATTTGGTTTTGATGATCTAGATGATGATGATGATGATGATAATGATGATACACCAGCAAGTAAACGAGGCTTATTTGTGACAGCTTTAGAAATAATAGGAAGTATAATACAATTAATATATGGTGGTATAGCTCAAATGTTTTCAGGGTATTTACCTAAATAAAGTCAGTACACCTAAGAATCCTTTATTTTTAAAATCGGTAAGTCACTGAGTTAATTGTCAAATATATTTAAGCTTAATATTTTTTTTTGGGTAAGTATAAAATGAATAGATGAATCTAGGTTTTGTTACGAAATGTCGAAAACCACAATTTTGAACGTAATGTGTTGAATGTAAAGTAGCTGAACATTTTTGATAAAATTTTGCCAAGTGGATAGATGCGGATAAGTACAAAGCGGGATTGAATATGCAACTGTTGGAATAGTATTCAGAGGGAAAAAGAAAAATTTTGTTTAAAGATTTTAAGAAGATATTGTTGTATAATTTAATTATAATATAATAAATTTATAAACTGTATAAAAATGTATGTATGTAAATGTAAAATTAAAAGAAAATCACAATATATTAAATTAAAAAATATCTTTATTCTTTGGGTATTATAATTATAGAACACTCTTCTCTCCAATATAAAATAAAATGCAACAAAACTTTAAAATTATATAGAATATATTATATTTTTATTAATATTAATTAATATGATTCTGATGTTATTCATTAATTCCCATTTCCATATTTAGGTAGTGCCATATAAATTGTTTTGTTTTTAACAATTTTATTCAATGTTAAACCTGTTTTATATGGAATAAAATATATTTATTGTAATAAGTTTTTTATTATAGCTATTTTTTTCTTTTGTATTTTTAAAGTGTAAGGTCTCAAATAGAATTAAAATCATATTAGCATAAACAGCAAACTATACATAATACTTTGATTATAAAGAATTATATTCAAAGTTTATAAAGTAATTGACAAAAATACATAACCCTTCTGTGAGCTTTGTCGTAGTCGAGTAAAAAATGTATGTTTTTTTAATCATTGTGTAATTTTGTGGGTAGTCGCTGTCTGTAACAACTATCTATACATATAATAAAATTGTAACTAAGCCGAATCTGTACATTAAATATTTTTTGGAAAATCTTATTGAAATAGACATTATTATCGATACAGAGGCCGAATCTATAGTTTTTAGAAATTTTGTCTGTCTGTTACCGCATCACAGATAAACCACTGGAGGGATTTTGATGAAATTTGGTATGGTGATATCTGGTTATCCGGGTCAACATATTGGGTACTTTTTACAGCGGGAAAAATCTCATTTCTGAGAAAAAATACAAAAACTGCATTGTATACTAATATGTAAAACCTACGAATTTGCTTTTTGGTTATCTAAACGCGGGCGGCGCTGCGGGCAATGATAGTATACTATATGATTTGAGACGTCTATAACCTCAGTCTTTCCCGTGACCATGATTGCTGTAAAGCATTCGAAACGTCGGGAACCAAAAATCAAAATAAATCCGCGAAAAAAACCGAAAAGATAGTTTCATTTAAAAATGTCAAATCGGGTAAATCTAAGAAAATATTAAAAGTGTAAAGGTGAGCTAGAACTCGAAAAGTAAAACTATACTTAATGTCATCATTGGGTAGTAAAGCAGGCTTTATCTGTCAGCTTTATATATTTTTTTAGATTTCGTGTAAAAAGGATCTAGTCGAACCTTTTACTAGCTTATAGTGTAAGTTTGTCTATCCCGTCTGTGCGAACGCAAAAATTACAGATTCTTTATAATTACAGTGCATTTTCAAATAAATACCAGAAAAAAAATTCAATTTTGATTTAAGTTTTAGATATGTTAGTTTGTGTAGTAATATGTTAGTTTATGTTAGTTCGCATTTCACGCAATCCGGTTTTTGTAACTAAATTTTTGTAATTGTATTACTGTGACATTGAAGATAAGCCCCTTTATTCGTGTTAATCGTCTCTAATCGCTTAAAGACTACCAATCAGTATGTAGTGACACCTAGATTTATCGCACGCTTCTATCATAGAAGCTCAGTCTGTCTCAGTTAAATATTGACAGTCTGGTTTTTTTATTAAATAGAAAAAAAAAGAATTAATATTTCTAAATACTAATGTGTGACGCGGGTTCAAATCCCGGGTCTCGCACCTTTGATATTTTCATATGCGAATCATTTCTAGCATGATTACCACTTGCCTTACGGTGAAGGAAAACATCGTGAGGAAACCTGCATGTCTGAGGGAACTTAGCAAGTTTTCGAAAGATATGAGAAGTTCGCCAACTCGCACTTGGCCAGCGTGTTGGATTATGGCCTGATCCCTCTCGTATTGAAGTAGGCCCGTGCCCAGCAGTGGGACGTTATAAAGGGCTGATTACAAATACTAATACTAATATTTTCATTAATTAAAGATATTGCTATAATACACGTTTATATGTAACATTTTTACTTGTTTTCTATTCTATAGTTCTATAAAGTGCTTTTCCATTATTATACGAGTATGAATAACAGAGTCAAACGTGCACTATTACACAGTAGCATATTTTATTTTGTTGCCATTTTTAAATTAATTACCTTGGCAACCCAGATTTTTTGCAGGTAACCTAACTCCTCCATACACTGTAATTTTAACTAATATTAGATGTACTTAGTAAGTTTTGGGGTCAAATATTTAAGGAAAAATTGAAGGACAAATTTACTAAAATTATCCTTGCCTTACAATATTATATGGTACTTTGGTGTCATTTCCAATTTTTTTGAATTAATTTTCTTATTATGTGGGTAGGCTGTCTGTAACAAGTATATACCGCCTTTGAGACGTCTAAAACTTCAGTCTATCACGCGACCATGATTGATGTAAAGCATTCCAAACGTCGGGAACCAAAAATCAAAATAAATCCGCGAAAATAACCGAAAAGATAGTTTTATTTAAAATGTCAAATATACGCGTGAATCTGAGAAAGTAATATAGTAGTTGGTTGTCTTTTTCATAAGTGAGAAATCAAATCCTCGTATAGGGTTTCAAAGGCTATTACATATTTCTCACTGACTTAACGTGTTTGGAAGACAGGCTTTTAGTGGAAATTGACACGAAAGTGGGTATTTCGTTTCGCCTGCGAAAATATTAAGGACGTATTTGTGTAAAGAGCTTCTACAATTGTCGTTCTAAGAAAAATGTAGTATGACAATCCGTATCTAGATTTCTGGCGCTTTTATTTTATATTGTTTGTCTGCGATTGAGAACTTTTGTTGTTGAATTGTATTTATAATATTGAATAAAAAGTGGCAGTTTTGTTTTATTACTAAATAACTAACTAATAATAGTAGATTATATATTACTCCAACTGTGCCAGCGCTCGCGGGTTCGAGTCCCGCTGGGGACATTCATTTGTGTGGTGAGCATGAATGTATGTATTCCAGTCACGGGTGGTTATATTTTTATAATATGTATGTATTTAAAGTTATATATGTGTAGTGTATCAACTATCTGGTATCCACAACACAAGCCTCGTAGCTTACCATTGAACTAGATGGTGTGGTGTGTTCATGTCCTAACATATTTATATACGTACGTTGATGTTCGGTACACCAAAGAGTAGTACCAATTTTGGTACTTGTCCTTTTACATGCTGCTTCTGGAACAGACTTTCCTACTCATATTAGTATTAGAAATAGCCAGCTTGTAAACTTTGATTTTAGAGCATGGTGGAAAGAACGCCGTAATTGGTTGGATGGAAATTGTTCGAAATCGGTTGACTTGGATAAATAATAATAATTGGGTAAAGCCATCTTTTCTGTCCATCAATAGTACTCAGTTAGAACAGACTAAGAAGTTCAGCAATTTTTTGCAATATATTGATATTTGTAAAACCGCTTTGTTTCTTTGACTTGATCTAGATCTGATCTGGTAAGGAGAAAGATTTTTTGTTTTTATTTCATTTGGGATATTAGTATAATATTTAAGTATACGTACTAGGCTGCAGTTTAGTATATGGGACGTGGCCCCTGGAGGAGTGGGTGGTATTTTTGGATAGAGGAGGTGATATGGCACTGTTAGAACATTTCCATATACATATATATATATATATATATATATATATAAAAGAAAGTCGTGTTAGTTACACTATTTATAATTCAAGAACGGCTGAACCGATTTGATACTTTTTAGCCCGTTCGACTGCGTTCCCGTATACAAGACTCAAGAACGGCTGGACCAATTTTTATGATATTTGAATTTTTGGATTTTTCTCATTCCGGAATAGGTTAATACCTAAGTATTAAAACGTCAGAAAAATTAACGAAAAAAAAAATATTTATATGGCTAATAACACTGGCTAATAACTATTTATATCTATTAAAAACGTACCTAGCGACGAACCCGAGCGAAGCGAGGGTGAGCCGCTAGTTTCTAATATAAAAATAAGTCATGACATAAAATAAATATACCTTTAACGAATAGCGAACATCATTTTTCGTTTAAATTCCATATTTTCATTGTTTCGTAGAACGAAAAAATCAGAAAAGCGTTTCTGACTACATTGTTCTATTAAAAAGAGAAGCATTCCAAAGAAACTTAAAATTTGAGAATACTTTAAAAGAAACTAAATTGAACATTACGAATAAAGGTCGAACAAGTTATTTTCAAGTACATTTATACTGGCTGGAAAATTTAAAGGTTCTTTTTACTGTTGCGGTAGCGTAAAAATTAAAAGAAAAAGTGTATGGTCTCGGTCACATTAATTTTTTTCATTCTCGGAGAGATGGCCGACGTGTTTTATATCTAAAGCATATCTATAACATAACATTGCTGTAAAATAATGTATGTACGATTGTGTATGTAAGAATATATAATATAATTTACAATGCTTTTCTTATTTTTTAATAAGTAGTTTGATATGCATATTTTGACAAAAATCTTTAATGGTATTGCTTTACTTTTAAAATAATTAATCAACTGGCATGTACCTATATTTTTTGTTTAAAATTTAGTGTAGTTAGAGTGAGACAGATCCTATTTGCTGTTTAGTATATGATGGTCACTCTCATATAGTCGCGGTCTGTCTTAATAATAGTGACATAGAAATTTGTATGAGCAGCACAAATACACTGGTAGCCTATCCACAACTTTCGAGTCGTATAATAATATAATACACATTGTATATGTAAAACTGCTCGATGACTACGATTTTATAGGATTATATTAAAATCGCATTAATGAAAAATACCCTTAAACTAAGAAAAATAAGTAGAATTCAGTTGCATGAAAATAGAGCTATAAATATGCACCCGGTCGTGCACGATCGATGCATTCCCTTTTGTTACACACAGTATGTTTGCAGTCTATTATATAGTTTTTATTGGTAATGGTGTACTTTGTAAAATTAGTATGAAATAATAATTACAAGCAACTTAACCTCGCTTCGCTTCCGGTTCTTAGACAAAAAAATCCCACGGGACTCGTACATTTTTCCGGGATAGTAAGTAACTTATGTGCTATTCCAGACTATAAACTATCCTTGTGCTAAATTTCATCAAAATTCGTTGAGCCGTTCTGGCGTAAAAGAGTAACAAACACCCATCCATCAATCGATCCTAACAAACTTTCATAGTATGGATAGAGAAGAAGAATAAGTTAGTTTATATTTCAATACATTGGTGCAACATGGGTGCAACTTGAACAGAATGTCTTATCTAGCTCTTGGCACAAAATGCTGAAACCATTCATTTTAGGTTGTAAATTGAGTTGCAATCAGAATTGATAAGTAGGCTCTATTATTTTCATTTTTACCTCAAAACTAGGAGTTACCCTCGCTTCGGTATGTGGATTACAGTCACAATTTCATGGGTTTAAGTTTTTTTCTTATATGCTTTCATATATATAGTATCGTAAATGCTTTCATATGTATTTAGTAACTAGCGGCTCACCCTCGTTTCGTTCGAGTTCGTCGCTAGGTACGTTTTAAATAGATATAAATAATTAAATTAGCCAGCGTTAGCAATGTAATTTTTTTTTCGTTAATTTTTCATTTTTTCTCTTTATTAAAACCTTCCGTGGACCTTAAGGAACATACGGAAAAATGTTTTTGCCGAATTGGTCCAGCCATTCTTGAGCTATGCGCTTACCAACATTTATTTTTATTTATATAGAGAAAAGCTGTTAATTTGACATTACAAACAGACACTTCAATTGTATTTATCTATTAGCGACTTAGCTTCGCATCTCTCGGACTTTTAATTCCCCATACAAACTTTGATCTCCATTTTCACCTCTTCAAAGAATGATTTCCGGGATAAAGAGTATCCTATATCCTTCCCCGAGCCTCAAACTATACTCCTACCAAGTTTCATCTAAATCGGTTCAATAGATCCAGAGATTACCCCCTACAACGTCACAAACTCACAATTCACAAACTCACAAACTTTGCCTCTTTATAATATTAGTATAGAAGTATAGATATAGGATAACAAAATTAAATAAAGTATTATATAAAGTTTATTAAAATGTATGTTTACATTTAAATGTATGTTTAAATCAATATTTGTTCATCCTTTATATACCTATAGACTACAATGTGTGTACAAATCATTTGTAAGCGATGAAAGTTATTATATGTAGTCTACTCAGTAAAGACATAAAAGGGAGCTCTCGGTACAAAAGGTCAAAAAGAGTTCTAATATGGCACATTTTACAAATTAGCATCTTCAGTGTTAATCCAAATATCATATCTTGAGCAAGCGCCGATTATTTGAAAAACACTCTCATACTCTTTAAGACCTAGATAAAAAATAGGTTTTATAAATATTATAAGTTACAAATGGGTGTATAATGAAAAAATATTAAGAAAAAATATTTGGCTATTTTTAATTTCATACAATATTCATAGAAACAAAGTGCTAATATTTCTTGTAAAAATTGCATAAAATATTGTGCAAATTATAATACTTATTTTAGACCTCACCTCAGTGATACAAAGAGAATAAATTCTGATCAAAATGATTTTCGGTACCTTTTATCCGATATGATTTGTACATCGCAGTCGCTCTAAGTTAGAAATTAGAAAAAATGTATCTGGAGTTGTTCTAAATTAGAGTTCTTTATGACCTTTTGTTTTTCAAAACTCACCCATGACTGGAATAATACCTGAACTAAAATAATAGCTGAACTAAAATACATTCTCTAAAGTATCGCCTTTTTCCTATCGGTGTTTTATTATTACTTTTGTTTGTTTGTTCGCTTGCCTGATTGGTAATTTCGATTTACTATAGATATCTAATCAGATATTTTCGAAGTCGGTGTGCTTTGATCTATTTCAGCTGGCACCAAACAAAGAAAACAAAGAAAAAAAAAGAATTTTGCAAATCCGTCTATATAAGACGGAGTTATGCCCGAACATACCTCCATAAAAAAATATAAACATCTGAACTGAGAATCTCCTCCTTTTTTTAAAACGGTTAAAAGTCGATATTAACCAAATGTACAGACACCACAGCATTACATTTTCTTTATATGTATTAGATTATATGAATAAGGCTAAGTTTAAACTATAACGCTGATCATGTCCATATTTTCTGAATTAAGCCTAAAATTAAATTGCAATACAGTCAGACTTTATTAGTACTTATATACAAGTGGTTGCAAATATCTCAACTCCGAAGATAACACGGACTCATCTTTTGCCAATTCGACGACCATTTCTTTGGCACGATTGTTGGCATACTGGTCGTTACAGTCATGTCGTTCGATCATTTTTGATAACGCCAAACTTAATTGAGCTCTGGCACCGCCGTCGGATGAATCCACAAGTACCTTCATAACATCAGGTGAAAATCCCTGGAAAGAGGCGTAAAACAACATGTATGTATATATTATGTATGTATTTTATACAATTCTAGCATTACCCGCGGCTCCGCCCGCGTTCAGATGACTAAAAACCAAATTCTTAGGTTTTACATATTATAACTAAGCCGAATCTGTACATTAAATATTTTTTGGAAAACCTTATTGAAATATACATTATTATCGATACAGAGGTCGAATCTATAGTTTTTAGAATTTTTGTCTGTCTGTCTGTCTGTTACCGCATCACAGAAAAACCACTGGAGGGATTTTGATGAAATTTGGTACGGTGATAGCTGGTTATCTGGGTCAACATATAGGATATTTTTACCGCGGAAAAATATCTCATTTCTGAGAAAAAAATACGAAAACTCCAATGTAAGAGTATACTAATATGTAAAATTTAAGAATTTGATTTTTGGTTATCTGAACACGGGCGGAGCTGCGGGCAATGCTAGTGATATTTATATTACTTATGTCTTTTATTTTTCCTAAAAGAATGAGGCCGACATTACGGCGCCAATAAACAAAGTAAGGGTATACAACAATAAAATAATTTATTGATCAAACTATCAAACCTCACAATTCTCACATAAAGTTAATTTACGTTTGGGCAAAGTTTTATTAGTTTTAGTTTTCTTTTAAGACCTGACTTTCAGCATTTATTAAATTAATTTTTCAAACAATTTTTATATAGAATTTATTCATGAGTCTTGAAATGAATAAATAATATAATAATGAAAATACCCCTATATTATTATTGGAAATCAAGTTTGAAGCCCATCAGAAGTTTCCTCTAAGTATCGCTAACGCGGATTTCCAATTAGGTAAGATTTTGAAGTCTATAAACGTGTTCCTAAGATAATTTGTAATTCATAGTAAAAGTTAAGGGATTTCCCCGATGACTCATAACGAGGTTAAGCTTTATAATTTAAAGTAAGATGTTCCAACGGATCAAGATTATTTACTGTTAATAGGTATTAAATATTTGTCATTGCGGTTATAACAACATTGACTTTTAATTTTATTAACGTTAAGTATTATTACGTTGTGATTTTTGCCTTAATTTCCCTATTATTGCTAGAATAAAAGGTGTCACTCTTAATGAAATTCTATACTTTTTCCTGTTATCAGCAGTTTCAATAAACCCATGTTTGCAGAAATATAGTTAATCAAGCAATATCTCCTGGCAAAAGAAGGTCATCTCTTATTGTAAATTGCGTACTTAACTTAAAATTCGGAATGTTAAAACCTTATATAACATTAATCAAAAAATCATAATATAACCTAATAAAAGGTTATTTGAAAAATAATCACGCTTAAAGTTATTTGCGTCTTTAGCTGAACCCGAGGTCGATATCTGACAACGACGGTAATAGCCAATTATATATGCAAAAAATCGATTCATTGTACCTTCTCGTTTCTGTTTGATATCCATTATTGAAATTGTTATAAATTCATTTTCATATTATTGTTTATGCATATTTGGGATGTTCGCTCAATTTGATGGTAATTATAGGGCATTGACTTTATACAACTAATAAGACATTAGTTACATGACGTAAATGTAAATATCATTGAGTTGAGATGAGATAAAAATTGGCGACCTAAAATATATAATTTTGGAAAATTTGAAAGGTTGATAATAATATTTATAGGTTAAGTGCTGATTTAATAACTTACTGTGTAATCTGATAGTCTCTGCTTTTTCGCATCTCTACTAAGAATATCGTACAGCAAAAGAAGTCTCAAATTCGATGATGATAATTTTCCTCTGGTTGACGGTTCTCTTGGATTTGCCCTTAAGCTTTCCCACACCCTTACCACCCTTTCTTCGTTAGGGTCGTAAGCCATTTTGATCAAATCTCTCACATTCGGAGACAAATATTGCAATGATTCTTCATTGATTTCATCATCGTAGTTATCTGACCGACTTGACACTTTCAGGTCCTTGTCATAAGGTAATAACTGATGTGGAACATCAGGTATAGGTTCCAGTAAGGGTTTGACTTCTTCATTATGAGCAGCTAATAGAGGTTCTTCTGTTCTTGCTTCTTGGGGTTCAATGACGGTATGCTCTGAATTAAGCTCAACAGGTAACAGAACATAGTTTGCTGATTTTGGATTTACTCTGTCTGAAGGTTTGGGGGGCGTTGATGGTGCGTAGAAACCCGGTTTATGAAATGCTGTGGTTATATCTCTGAAATATTTGTTTTTCATTATAAATACTAGTTTTTTGTTAATTGTATGGATTCTAAACACATATCTACATATTATTATGTATTATGTTTTTCAAACTTGTCTTAAAAATACAATAAAGTGTTCATTATATTTACAGGTGCTTAAGGTTTTAATTACACATGCTAAAATAAAAGCTGAGGAAGTTCATGCCTAATCCAGATACCCATTCCCAACAATTTTAATAAAGTAAAAGTTGCATAAAAGGAGATATAAGAATGTTATATATATTTACACCAATCTAGTGTCATTTTACTCGCTGTCCACTGAACCTGAAAAACAGTTCGAAGCAATAATAAATAGACAGGATCAAGCAAGAAGAGAAAGAGCCATCACCTCGATATACCATATCTCATCCACCATCCATCAGACGAAGGCAAGCTGGCAAAGTAATTAGAAGACACATACAAGGGTTTTGCAGTAGTGCTCGTTCTTGGTGGGGGATCGTCCTTGACCTCATAAGCCATTTGGTCCGTTAGATGCTGTATGACTTGCATGGCGACTGGAAGGTAGGAGTCCGAGAGCCGGATTTGTTGTTCATTTGCTGATTGCACCTGGGAATCACATATTTTTATTTTATCACATTACAAATTTTTCTATTGCTTGGCTTACGTTATAAGTACATAATATGGCGCTATTAGATAAGTTCAAAACTAAAGAATTGTTATATTTATTTATTTTAACTACTATCTCATCTGAAAGCATTATCGAGATAAAAGTATCTCGTATGTTTGTCCAGGTTCAAGGTCTATCTAAGTCTATATCTGAACTAAAGCAGAGCCAACAGTGACAAACCTTTACATTTATATTTTTAATAGATTTTGTAACTTTAATACCAATAATTACTTATATATAAAACCACGGTGGTATAGTGCACAGTATTGAATATAACATAACGTAAACAGTTTACTGGTAATTGTAATCGCACAGTCTATACATACATATAATAAAATTGTAACTAAGCCGAATCTGTACATTAAATATTTTATGGATAATCTTATTGAAAAAGTCATTATTATCGATACAGAGGGCGAATCTATATAAATCTATACTTTTTAGAATATTTGTCTGTATGTCTATCTGTCTGGGAATGAATAGCAAGAAAAACACTGGACTGATTTTGACAAAATTTGGTATGATGATAGTAATTCGATATCCGGATATATAGGAGACTTTTTATCTAACTGTAAAACGTACTTAGGGACGAACCCGACCGGAGCGAGGGTGAGTCGCTAGTATTATATAACGTAAAAATATGAAGTTCTATGACATACAAGTACTTTCAAGGCATTTTATTAACCTGAGAATAATTTAAAGATAAACTACATATAAAATTAAGTGACCCGAGAAAAGTATGATATATAAAGCAAATTAATAAGTAATTGGCCTGATTTTGTTGACACAAATCGTTTCTGTAATTATTTACTCTTCAGAAGATTTTCCGGAAACAATATTACGAATCTGATTTATTATTTACAAGATTATGTTCACGTTTCTCAGAGCAAATATATTTTTCTTTCTTAAACTACTATTTTTGTTCTTACAGGAATATCGAAGCCGAAACTTATTAAGACTTGAGGAAAGTCTGGATTGCTGATTTGTTGTGATTTTGGAAAATACTCGTAGTACCCATATGAAAATCTTCTGTCACAGCTAGCAGCTATTAACTCGTATTCCTCTCTATATAGCCGATACTCTATACAAAATAAATGGATACAAAATCAAATACTAAAGACAAACAGACGTAATATAATTAACTTAAATATTTGTTAGGAGCCTAACTTAAGCCCCCAGCGTATAGATAGATACTCTTACCACTGTGACAGGTGGTGTTGACATACTCGAATTGAACCTACGACATCTTACTTTATAAGTATTGTTATATTTATAACTAGCATTGCCCGCGGCTCCGCCCGCGTTCATTTGACCAAAAACCAAATTCTTAGGTTTCACATATTAGTATACTCTTACATTATAGTTTTTGTATTTTGTCTCCAAAAAGTATCCTATAATTTGTTGGCTTACTATTACAAGGGTCTATGTTAATTTTAATGAAGTTTAGTAATTTTTACATAGAACTTCGTTATTTTGTTATCGTAAAAAAACAACATAGAACTATGTAAAATTGAATATTTTGTAGTTATAGTGCCGCTATCTAGTGGTTCGTTTTTGCAAAATTATAGCTAATGACACACATAGAACCTTGTAGCAGTAGTAACTAAATAAGTACTAAAATTGTAACGTAGAACCTTGTAATAGTGAGCCAAATTATGTTGACCTGGATAATCAGCTATGACCATACCAAATTTTATCAAAATCCGTCCAGTAGTTTTTTCTTTGGTGCGGTAATAGACAGACAGATAGACGAACGGACAGACAGACAGACAGACAGACAAAAATTCTAAAAACTATAGATTCGGCCTCTGTATCGATAATAATGTCTATTTCAATAAGATTTTTCAAAAAATATTTAATGTACAGATTTGACTCAGTTACAGACAAAGAGTCTCTAAACCCCAATATAACTACTCCATTATGTGTTGAAAGTGATAAGCACATGAGGGACCTATTGTTACTGAATGAGTAAAAGTGAAAATCTCATGAATATTCATAATTTGAAACATTATTTAGCAAATATGCGTTTTAAAATAAAATAAAAAGATTTTTTTTCGATGGTCACGGTTTCTATTTACATAAATAACACATTTTGTATATACAATACTATGTATACGCATACCATGTATATACCGTACTTAAAAGTCGATAATAACTAACGAATCTGTATTATTTTGATGTATCTCTTAAGGCTTAGCCAGCGTTAGACATGTAAATTTCTAAGAATGACTCGATATAGCCAGTTATTGTTTTTTCCAGTGGGAATGAAAGATTTTCCTGTTGTACAAGGAATCCTAAATATTGACCCGAGTAATAAGTTATCACTACAGAAAATTTAGTTTAAATCGGTTCAGTACTTTTGCTAAAACGCGCACATCGATTTCGTTAGTTACTGTTTTATTATATGTATAGATAAAAAGTAGGTATTGCGAGTGTACCTTAGAAGATAGACATATGCTATGGTGTACTTTTTTGTAGGTGTTTTTAAGACCTACAATTATCTAGTATATTATTTTGATATATCTCTCAAGATTTAGCCAGCGTTAAATAAATTCCGAAGGACGACTATAGAACCTTGTTAATTATAAAAAGTTTTATATAAGAAACCTTGTATAAACAACCTCAAAAACTGTAACAGTTAATATTTTCTTAAAATAAATATTAAAGAATTCCGATAGTTGTCATTTTTGTAAAGATTTCTAAAACATAAGATTTTTTTTTAATTTACGAATTTTCAAAACAGCGGTAATTTTTAACGTATAAACTTTTTAGTTTATGGTATTAAAAAGCCAACGAAGAAAAAATCATTCAAATCCATTCATTATAACTGGGTTCCGACATTTTTCATTTATAATGACTAAATGCACTTTTCTATTTGTATTATACACTAGCATTGCCCGCTGCTTCGTTCAGATGACCAAATACCTAATTCTTAGGTTTTACATATATTCATACTCTTACTATGCAGTTTTTGTATTTTTTCTCTCAAAAATGAGATATTTTTCCGCGATAAAAAGTATCCTATATGTTGACCCGGATAACCAGCTATCACCATACCAAATTTCATCAAAATCCCTTCGATGGTTTTTCTGTTACGCGGTAACAGACAGACAGACAGTCAGACAAAAAATCTAAAAACTATAGCATCGCTCTCTGTATCGAATAATGTTTATTTCAATATGATTTTCAAAAAAAATCTAATGTACATATTCGGCTTCGTTACAATTTTATTATATGTATAGATTATTTAAGAAACTCCTTACCACATTTTGTGTTATCTGGAGAACAATTGTGAGTAACAGCACCTGTCGCAGCATGATTGTAACCTGGAAAAAAAAAGATTTCTAATGAGTATATTGAAGAATTTTGGGTAATAATTTGTATATGGTTTATTATAGTTCATACCTTATTGACAGGTTTTTATGAACAAAATTTTGGGACTTATAGGAAGAAGAAGGTGATCATTAATATTACCACTTTTATAAATTTACACAATGTAATAAAATATTAGAAAATAGAAGTTAATTTTAACCATTTGTTAAATATCGTATTTGTCTAAGATTTGAAACTTTGTATGTATGTACATTGTTCTAATATGATCATGAAGGCGGACAGTGAAACTTTTTATTCACGTTTGGCTCAGTTTGTAGTGACACAGTTTGTACTTGCTGTGCCAACGGTCGCGGGTTCGAGTCCCGCTGGTGGCATTTATTTGTGTGATGAGCACGAATGTTTGTACTCAAGTCATGGGTGTTGGTATTTATAATATGTACCTATGTATCTAAAGTTATATATGTATAGTGTATCAACTATCTAGTATCCATAACACAAGCCTCGTAGCTTACCATGGAACTAGGTGGTGCTGTGTGTTAATGTCCCAACATATTTATTTATTATTTATTTATTTATTTATTTATTTACCAATAGCTGCTAGCTCCTTCAAGTTTGAGTGTATTTAATTTGATTTACCTATTGATTATTAATTTATTATTTGAAAAAAATATATTTAAATATATTTTTTAATATGTTGCGTAAGTTATTTTTGACTTATCACTCCGATAAGTTAGTTCTTATTTTTAGTGCCTTGAAGTTTCCCCATAGATATACGAGCAGATAAGTAATTTAGCAATACTAGTAATGGTGAGTTTAGAAAGCTGTTTTGGTAAATATTTATTTATCAAAGCAATTTAAGTTAGTCTGACGGCGATGGTCTTTTATTTTGTTACGGCTAATTTTCTATAATTTTGTCTGTGGTGCAACTAGTATAGAAATTAGGTCACATTCTACTATTTACTATGGAAAACTATAAATATATGGGTTTTAATCTATCGCTAAACTATTGCTAGGGAATTAAAGACTGCTAGTTATCAGTACAGTGTCTAATGTCTACCCTATACTGAGGTATGCTGTTAAAATTTTTGCATAACAGCTCCGTAATCCGTATAGCTGTAAAAAAATTTTCTCCACAGAACTTTGAAACAACATGCAGTATTAGAAAACTTCAGTCAAAGTGTTCATAGTTTAAAAAAACTGTAAACAGTTTTTGTTCATTACAGAGTGCTCTAAAGCTGTGCAATATTACGTCAAAACTTTGCTGAAACTTACAAGAAAGCTTAGTGAACTTTAGCTAGTTATTACTTATTTTCTACAATTGAAAATCGTAACTTGTTGGTACTAAACATACTAGAGTTGCGAAGTCATTCGTATCGATAAAAGTTATTTAAAGTTTTATTTAATTTAAACTCGCTTAGGCGTTATGACTTTGCAAGATTTATGGATTGGCTGTAATTAATAACTGAATGATAGATATAGGAACGACATATCTTCGAACGCGATTGATATCTTCGAACTTATCTATCTTCCATATAAATGAAAATGAATGTTCGTATGTTTGTCCTCTATACTTTCGTAAACGACTAAACTGATTGTGATAAAACTCTGGTGGGTTATTTTGTATACACCCTGCAAAGATTCCTGGCCAAAAAAAAATAATTTTTTTTGGACGTTTGTCTTTTATGCTTTCCTATACTATTCAAGCTTAGGAATACACCCGAGTGAAGCGAGGGTGAATTGCTAGTTTTAATGTGATCCCATAATAATAATAAATATTATAAATACGAAAGTTTGGATGGATGTTTGTTACTCAATCACACCAGAACGGCTGAACGGATTTGAATGAAATTTGCCTCAGTATATATAGTATGGAATAGCAAATAGGTTACTTTTTATCGCGAAAAAATGTACGATTCCTGTGGGATAGATATTTTTTCTTTTTCACTAGTGACGAACTCTAGCGAAGCGAGGGTGAATTGCTAGTATACTAAAAAATAAATGTTTGCCTTCGATCAGTTCGCACTGAGCTCAATCATATTGATTCGGTACTTAGAATAAAAGAAAATTCCAGGTGCTCTGGTCCTTTCAATAAAAAAAGGTATTTTGTAAAAATATCATCCCAATGTCAAAACCATAAACAGTATCGATCATAAACTTCAGAAGATATAATTTGTTACCATGTGTTATTCAAACCTCGCTCGCATGTCGCAGCTGGGTTATAGCACATAATTTACGTAGGGTATCGAAAACGTTTATGTAAATTGTGAAATACTTGCTGTTAGAAATAGCTTTATGTATTTCGAAATAAAACTAAAATCTTTTTGGATTTTGTTGCGATTTTATTTAATACTAGCATTGCCCGCGGCTACGCCCGCGTTTAGATGACCAAAAACCAAATACTTAGGTTTTACATATTAGTATACTTTTACATTGCAGTTTTTGTATTTTTTTCTCAGAGATGAGATATTTTCCCGCAGTAAAAAGTATCCTATATGTTGACCTGGATAACCAGCTATCATCATACCGAATTTCATCAAAATCTGTCCAGTGGTTTTCTCGTGATACGGTAACAGACAGACAGACAGACAGACAAAAATTCTAAAAACTTGATTCGGCCTCTGTATCGATAATAATGTCTATTTTAATAAGATTTTCCAAAAAATATTTAATGTACAGATTCGGCTTACTTACAATTTTATTATTTGTATAGATTTTTGTTCCTGACGTTTCGAATGCTTAATAGCAAACATGGTCACGGGAGAAACTAAGGTTTTAGACGTCACAGTCATTCGTGTATGTGTTAAGAGGTATAGTGTTTCAGTATTTATGAAAAAATATCCCTCAAGGTAGTACAATAACCTTTTCTACTTTCTACTCCATAAATTACTTGATAGCAATTAATCACATCTATCTATTGCTTCATTGCTGCAAGAATAAATGATACATAAACAAAGGCATGATCACAATTATATTACTATTATATTAATGCAAGCGACTTACCCTCGCTTTACCCGAGTACGTCTCTTGGTACCTAATAATACCTAGAATAAATAAATAATAAATATGTTGGGACATTAACACACAGCACCATCTAGTTCCATGGTAAGCTACGAGGCATGTGTTATGGATACCAGATAGTTGATACACTACACATATATCATAAGCATTAATAAAATAATAGCATAGGTATTACTCCAGGTCATAGTCTATCTGAGTGCTTTTCATCAAAATCCGTTCAGCCTTTGTGACGTGAAACAAACAAACACACATACAAACCGCATTTATAATAGTAATCCGATTAAACCATCTGATAATATTATATTTAGTGTAAATAAATATAATTTATAAGAGACTTTCACTTTTGACTCGTAACGTCGTCTTAATGCTTATTTATTCCAACGACCAATTACTTGTTGCAATTTAGTAGAGTTTCTTCTTCTATTTTGAAAAGAAAGATTTTTCTACGATTAATACATGTGTTAAGATAACTGTCTTAGATTAATCTCGCACCTGATATTTTCATGTGCAAATCATTTCTAACACGATTACCGGGCCTTACGGTGAAGGAAAACATCGTGAGATAACCTGCGTGTCTGAGAAAACAAAGCAAATTTTCGAAAGACATGTGAAGTTCGCCAACCCACACTTGGCCAGCGTGGTGGACTATGGCCTGATCCCCCTCGTATTGAAGGGAGGCCCGTGCCCAGCAGCGGGACGTTAAAAAGGGCTGAATACTACCCATACCGAATACTATTCTTATTTGAATGGTCTTTTTCGTAAACATGATTGCTGTGAAGCATTCGAAATGTCAGAAACCAAAAATCAAAATAAATCCGCGAAAAAATCAGAAAAAATAGTTTTATTTAAATATATATACCTACCTAGATAGAATACATTTTTTGGCTTTTTAAAGTAAAATGTGTATTTGATATAAATAGAATTGATATTTGAGTCAATAATTCTGTATTAAAACTCTTCCGGTAAATTGGTCGCTTGGACAAATAAGTACTGAGACGACGATGTATGTATAAGTGCCTCAGCTTTGCTATCCAGTTGACCCCAATTCTAGGGCAAAGTAACGGTCTAGTCATAGTATAGATAGCTGACATGCTTCCTGATTGTGAACACATTAAAGTGTCTTAGATAAATCCTTTACTAGAAAGGGCTGTCGGTTCCCTTACATACATAAAACCAGCATGATTTTTTTTCATTAGATTTGTTCGTGTAAGATACACGAAACTGTATTATGATGAACAAAATGTAAATTTTAACGTAGACAGTGAAGTAAATATTATAAGCACACCTCCTTCTTTTCTTTGTACTGAATTTATGCTAAATTATAAAAATCTTCGAAAAAAAATTATCTTCTAATGTAAATATCCAATATAATAATAAATTATTATAAATAATACAAACATTTGACATCGACAATAGGATCCTATGATTCAAAATTTATCTCCTAAAGTGCCTGATACACGAAAAAAAGCCAGGAAGTGCTCAAACAATCTGATATCTGTATCATAATATTTTGGTTTAGAAATCCAGATTTTAGACCAAACCATAGATTTTTCGCTTTAAATCATATTTACACAGAGACAGTAAAGAAAATGTTTACCGGAAACTTTGACATAATTTAACACCTCTTAGTCGACATTCGACTAACTCAATGTTACATACAGACTCGAGATTTTGACTGATAGAGTCTTGACCTATACTCAGCACAAGAAGTCAAGAATCCGCATTTCATTCAGAATTTAATCGAGTCATTAAGATAATTATTATAATGTCGCAGCTATTCCCTCGTTAACACATTTCTATGGAAATACCGTTTTTTCTCCCTAATGACGTCTAACATTGCTTTCCCGTGTATTTTTTTTTGAATTCATACTTCTCAAAATTACTTAAGTAAGTTTAATAATTCAGACAAAAGATTCTTCCTGTTATTGTCAATTTTTGCTAAATATCTGGCAATTTTCTATATAAT